CTCTTTTCGCGCTGCCCCCGTTCAAAAAGCCACAAAAGCCGTCAAACATTGACTCGCCGTCACGCCGCTCGAGTGTTTCATTGGGACAGTAAAAGCCAGCGACGCCGCGGATCGCGGCGCCTGCCCGCGGACCGTGACAAAAGATGGCGCCGCACGTGAGCGAGTGCGCGCGCTTGTTTTTTGTTCCTTCTTCCCCCGAAGTCGCTTGCGCCGTCGCCGGAAAGTCAAAGACCCCGGGATAGCCCCGTTCCTGAGCGCTTTGAAGAGAATTGTCGCAAAGGGGCCGAGAGCGAGGAGCGTTTTGTTGGCCGCGCCCTCCTCGGCGACGGGTCCGATCGGCGAGTCTCTCCGGGTCCCGCTGAGACCGGAGACGCGCGTGCGCCGCGGTCGCGAGGCCACTGAGGCGTTTTTTGGTGGGCCCGCAGGCCGTCAGCATCAAGCTCCACCCCCTGTACGTGATGCTCCCCTGCACCGTCGCCGCCTCGCTGGCCTTCATGCTGCCCGTGGCCACGCCCCCCAACGCCATCGCCTTCTCCTTCGGGAACCTGCGAGTCATGGACATGGTAAGGAGCCGCGGTCGGGCGCCGGGACGGCCGCAGAGTGACGCGGCCGCTCGCTCCTCGCCGCAGGTCAAGGCGGGCCTGATGCTGAACGTCATCGGGATCCTCAGCATCAATTTGGGCATCAACACGTGGGGCCGCGTCATGTTCGACATGGACACCTTCCCCACCTGGGCCAACGTCTCGCGAGCCTAGCTCGCAGGGGGGGGGGACAGCGCCCTTCGGCTCGGGCCTCTCCCCGCTTGGATCCCGCTTCCAAATGTGCCGTCCGTCCGTCCGCCTGCGCACTCCCGAACTTTGACCGCTTCATCCACATGAGATTGTTTGATCGTTTTAGGGTGGGCCATAAGTCTTTTAGGATCTGCACACGTGTGGATACAGAAGCGAGTGAGAGAGCCCCCCGAGGATCTTGAGTTTGAGTTTCCCAAGTGTGCCGACTTGCGCCCCTCCCCCTCTACTTTTGCGTTGGGGCAGGAGGTCCCGCCTGAAAAGAAAAGAAATCTCCGAATGAATTGTCGTTTGTACCTTCTTTTGCGTCAACATGATTTTACGAGCCCTTGATGTGTTGTGCCACTTTATTTCCCGCTTCGCTCTCCCTCACGTTGCAAAGTTGCCAAGAGGACATAAAATGTCACCCGCGCACTTCCGGAGTTGAGCGATGGCGGCGACCGACGCGGAGAACATGCGCTCCGCGCTTGTTCATCGTCTCGTGCGCGTGTGTGAGCGACGCGACGCGGACGCGGACGTCACACTTCAGCCTGCTGAGTCGGCGAGTCTCTTTGTCGCTTCCGAGAGGCCGCGCATCAGCACAATTGCTCTTTTGCATTTGCTTGCCCTTTGCTAGCCCTGCCAGTCTTTTTCTTCCTCCGTTTGGTTCCGTACGCGCCGCCTCTCGCGCGTCCCTTTGGCTTTTTTGGGGGGGGGCTCGACCATCACGCCTCCATGACAACATGCCGACGTCTCTTTGCGCCTGTGTTGGAGCGCGCCTGTGTTATACGTGTGCGCAACATTGCCTTGAAACTTGCTGGCATGTGTGTGTGTGTGTGTGTGTGTGTGAGGGGGAGAGCGAGCATGTGCGCTACAGAAACAAGATTTTGCATAAAGGCAGGTTGGTACGCTTGTGCAACAAAGGCAAAATGCTGACTCTGCCCCCCCGGCTCCCCCCCGCCACCGGTGTATATAAGCCCCCCGCGCTCGGCGCCCGGGCAGCCCCCGTCAGCGGGAACCTGCGAAACTCGGGTCGCCACTTTTCTCGGTAAGAACGTTTTTGAGTCGGGGGTGGGGGGCTTCCTTTGCAGAGGTCACTTGAACGTTTGGC